TCCGGGACCAGCCATCTGCCCTCAGCACGACTGCAGTATTGACTTTCTATTCTCGGGGTGGAAGATGCACATTTATTTTGAAATATTTCCTGCAATGAATCTGTGATTTGGGAAGAGTGCATCTACGATTATTATTGTTGACCTCGATGTGACTTCCAGCAACAGAACAAGTCACTGACTGTCACTGGGTTTCCTTTTACCCCTTATTACCAAAAAGAAAGACCCCAGGCTGAGCAGCTTGGGAAAATGTGCCCGGTGCTTCCCACTGCAGCAATGTAGTAAATCTCTTTCTGACTAGTCCAGCTGCAAAATATATCACGTAGAACCTTCTCTACCTGGAAAAGCCTTGGGAGTGAGGACTTATGGGTAGAGTCTGGTCCCTGCCACTGACAGCGATAGCATCTTGGGCAGCTCACTTCCTCCTCAAGGGCCTCAGTGGTTCCACCTGCAAAATGGGAGGAGAAGATCTGTTTTCAATGACGCCTATGGTAAGCAGAATAATGGTTCCCCTAGATGTCTGTACCCTAATCCTCAAAAACTGAATATGCTAAGTTACATGGCAAAGGGGACTTAAGGTTGCAGATGGAATTAGGATGCTAATCTTCCAACCTAAAAATAAGGAGATTATCCTGGGTTATCTGGGTTATTCTGGATTGTCAGGGTCCTGATTAGTGGACAAGGGAGGCAGAAGAGGGAGACTCAGACAGATGGCAGCCCGGGAAGGACTCAGCCTGATGTTGCTGCCTTTGGGGATGGAGAAAAGGGGCTATGAGCCGAGGATTGTGGGTTGCCTCTAAAAGATGGCAAAAGCAAGGAAACAGATTCTTCCTTAGAGCAGCTATGTCGACACTTTAGTGTCAGATGTTTGAGGCCCAGTTTGGGCCCATGATGATGAGAACCGGTCCCTGTGGAGAGCACACCCAATGCCTGCAGTGTGAGGAGATTTCCATGCATTACCTCATTGCACCTTTAGAGAAACCTTGAAAGGTAGGGGTTATTATTGCCCCACCACTTGACAAATGAGGAAACTGAGGCCCAGAGGGTGTGTATAACTTGTCAGAGGTCACAGAGCTGGGGCTGATGGAGCCTGGGTTTGAACTCTTTTGGGTCATCAGCCTGTCCCCGTTCTCTGTGCACACAAGGGGCATTTCCTCAGTCCTACGTAAAGTGTTGTGCAAACACGGCATCCAGTTAGCAGGGGTGGGGAACGTCTTATATGGGGCTCAAAATCATTTGGTCTGGCCCTGCCAAGGCTACCACAGGCAGGACCCGAAATTCAATAAATCTAGGAGCTTTTATCATAGCTAATTTTTAAGTTGATAATTTTATATGGCCTGCAAATGATGTTATAAATATCCAAATGGTCCTTGGCAGAAAAAAGGTTCCCCACTCCTGGGTTAGAGTGACCACAAGTCCCAGTGTGCCTGGGACAGTCCTTATGCCCTGGAATAATTATTAATGGTGGCCCCATTCATGCTCAATGAAGGTCTAGTCTGGGGTATAAATCACATAGTCATCCCATGTTGAGCCCTCCTAGTGGCGACTGAAGCCTTGGGGAAGAGTGTACAGGGAGAGGAGTAGAGTTGTACGAGCTGGGCCCAGGAGCATGTAGGAAAGCCCTAGAACTGGGTAACTTATGTTTGAGTCTTGGTTCTAGGACCATTTTGTTCTGTGACCCTGGGAAAATAAGAGCCCACATGACCAGCCCTTACCCCCAGGGCTACCTAACATTCCTCTGCCTTCGTCTTTGCTGCTCTTCTCCTTCACTTACTGGCTTCCTTAAGGATCCCCAAACATCAGGCACACATCTGGTTCAGGATCTTTGCTCTTATCCATGTAGATCCCTTGCTTTTCTCCTAGAATTCTTTGCTCAAATGTCAACTTCTCAGAGAAGCCTTCCTGACCACTCTGTTTAAAATTACAAATTACCCCTTCCCCCGAACACATCTCCTTCCCTTCCTTTATTGTTCTTCATAAATCCAAACACAACCTGACATATCATATATGCTACTACTTATCCTGTTTATATTTTCTCTGCCCCACTGGAATCCAAGCTCTAGAGGGTAAGGATTTTTGCCCCCCCCCCTTCTTTTTAAACTACTGTTTCCCTGGTACCAGTAACAGCATCTGTCACAGGGTAGACAATGAATGAATGAGTGAATTCAGCCAAGGAATGATATCTTGGCATAAGTTTGTGAAATTGAGGAATGAATGAATTTGAGAGATAGTGAAAGAAAAGTTTTTTATTTGTGTTTCACATTCAGCCAACATTCCCCCTGTGCTTTTGCATTTATTCTCTTGTTTACACATCACCCAATATTCTATAAATATTCATTTATTTCCTTCCAGGACTTTTGATGTTTTTTACATTTAACTTACCAATGCCTCTGGAATTTATTTTGATGTACATAATGAGATATGGTACAGATTTAATATTTTTGTCTAGATCATTAGGCACTTTCAAAATGGTCTGAATATCATTTATTGAATAATCTATCTTCCTCCAAATAATGGGAATGCAAGCTTTATTATACCATAAAGTCGTATCCATGCAAGTCTCTTGCTGAACTTTCTATTGAGTTTTGTTTTTCTGTTCCCAATCAGCCCCACACTTCAGTTATTATAATTATATGTGTGAGAAATGTGTGGAAATCTTTCTTTTTTCCCCCAAAAAATATTTTTAAGACTTAATTTTCCAAATTCACTTTAGACAATTTTTCTCATGATACCTTCATGGAACTTCACATTTTATAGATTGAAATCTAGTTAATATTAACTATCCAGGAACATGCTATGTGTCTTATTATTTGGTTCTTTCTTTTCCTAATTTATTCATATGAATCCCAAAGACTTATTATAATAATATTTAATTGTTGTATGTTATTGCTATTGAAAATTGGTTTTGTTTCTGTTTTGGGTTTAACCACTTATTCTTAATGCATAGGATACATTAATTTCTGCATCGGGATTTTCCTCCATTTACCTTTTTCTTTAATTTCTGAATCAACACCAAATTTGGTAGAAGTTCCTCCTGAATTTCCTTCTTTTTCAGCAAACTTCTAGGTGCTCTCTCTATGGAAATGTTATAATTGACTTACTTAACTCCCTAAACATATGCTGATTCTGTAGTTCATGGCACTCCTGGACACAATTATAAGCTCAGAAAGTTCTAGTTGATTCTCCTGGGTTTTCCAAGTAGATGATGGGCTAATCCTCTGTTCAAATCCCTGTACTTCTCCAGGCCTGTCCAAGGGTCTGGTCATTAATCATGTGCTGCCCTTTGACACTTCCCTTGTCACTACCCTGCATGTCACTTGCAGCTCTTTCTGTTCAACAAGTCCCATGATTGTGTCTTGGCTCCAGGTCTCGATTGTAAGGCCTGTGCTTCCAGCGCAGAGCTGCCCACGCCTCAGACCCCCAGTCAATAACTGTTGGCTTAATCTGATTAAAGAGTGAGAACAGAGGTAAGACATTGCATGAGCTGAGTTCTTCCCCTCACGTATGAAGAGTTCTGAGTCCAGATGTGTCCCAGGTGATTTTTCAAATAGTAGGCTGCAATTTGGCTAAGGGATCTGTCCTTATGTTAACTCATGTGCATCTTGGAACAGTCCCATGAAGTGGGTACCATCATTGCACCCACTTTTCATCTGGAGCCTCTAAACACACAGAGGTTTTTGGAAAGCAGGACCAGCTGGGTTCAGGGCCACACTGGATGGAGCGTGAGAGAAAGAGGAGGCCGTTGCCTCTCTCTCTGCCGTGGTTGCGGATTCCGGTAAACACGGTGGCATTTGTATGGATGGGATGAAGGTTTCACAAAAGTGCCAAAGGAGCAGTTATTGCCTGTGTGTGTGTTTCGGGGGGTGTGTGTGTGTGTGTGTGTGTGTGATACCCATCAGAGAGGGAACAAATGGTGGTAGGGGATGTCTTTTACTTTGGAAGAATATCATGCCTGTCACCAAAGCTCCTGGTGGGACGTGATCACCAGGTATGGACAGTGTGGAAAGCAGCATCATGACCTCAGGGAATGTGAGGAGGGCAGAGATTGCCAACCTAACTTGTTAGATCTGCATTGCCCTGGGAACTGTGGCCTCAGGATGCCTTCACCGCCGCCACCATCCACGACACAAATCTATTGATCTCACTTCAAGTTAAACAGGGTGTCTCTTTTGTTGGAGCTGATTATCCATTGGTTGAATTGAATAATCTATCTTGTGTTCTTAAAAATGTCAAGTTCATAAAATAAGGAATCAAAACGCTTCAATAATTTAGGGTGAAATATTGTCAATAACCAACTCTTTTACGTTTATTTTAGTAAACACCACACCTAGATTTGCAAAATAGCAATGTGCAAGCCTGTGTCCTATGCAAATCTACTTTTTGGCAGTTAGAATCCTGTTTTTCCATTGCCTTCTGTTATGATTTCTGACATGTGTAACTTATCTTCTGCTCCCCCACTAGCTGCAGTGTTTCCCAGGCCTGCCCTTCTATATGCAATGTCATCTTTAAGGGAAAATTCGCATGGACCAGAGGAGTTGTTAGAGACCAGGCCTCCAGGAAGGCATCTTGGGGTCCTGCTTATAACCAGGCATGCATTTTGAGCTGAGTTTCTTTGCAGGAAGGCTGCCTGCAGCTTTAAATGGGTTCCCCAACCTCGGGTTCTGAGAAGTCTGCAGCCAGCTGCAGTAGGAGTGAGTTATGATTCAGTATTCCAGAATTCCTAATGAAGTCTCCTGAGCAAAAAATTCTCTTACTTCACCTCCCCCAAGTCACATTTCGAGTTGATTCATGGGCAAAAGCACAGAAAAACCTATGGCTTTGGGGGACTGAGGAGGAGTGAAATCATTTCTGCTTTAAGAAATCACCAGGCTTCAATTATTTTATTTGTTAAGAAAAGGCTATTTTATTTTCCATTATTCCCTGCTCTAAGTATAGATTCAAAGACGCCCCTCCCTGCCAAAAAAGATTTGGATCTATACCTGCCCCCCTTTCCACCTCCATTCCTGCTTATTTGCCCCAAGATAGAAAATCCAGCCGTGCCCTTTAGGGGCCAGCTGTCTTAGCTCGTTGGGAGCTGTTTTAAATCCCATTTAGTTTACACGAAATAAGTCTGCAACCCCCTGATGGAAGTAGTTGTCTCTTGGCTCAAAGAGGCAGCCCCAAGTGGAAACTGAGGTTGGCTGAGCCCAGCCTGACTCCTCCATGGTTCTTCCCAGGATGGGCATAGCTGGGGCATCCTGGACAGCTGACACTTGTGGGGAAAGTCACTTGGCACCATTCGCTGCTTGATATTGGTGCCCTTTGTGGCGCTGTCTAGGCTAATTGAAAGTCATGCTGTGCATAATTTTAATTAGGATTCACATCAGGCTGGGCAAGGCTTTCAGCGGGAGAGGAAACCACACACTGAGCATTCAGAGGGTGAGGGGCAGCAGGGAGGTGGGAGGACACTTATTTATAACCCTTCCTGCCACGTGCACACTGTGGAGGCCAAGATATGTTTTCCCATCCCAATGGGCAGAGGAGCTGGAACTCGTGAATCCAATTTAGCATGCTTGGTTCAAGTCTTCATAAGCTGGAGTTTCTTGAATTTTCTAGAATTTTCCCTCATTGCAGTTAAGGACCGCACACTTCAATTAAAGACGAGAGAGTCAGGGTTTTGGACTCCAGCCCACTGTCGACCCTCAGAGGTCTCACTCCTTGAAGTTCAGCCTCTAGACTCACCGTGGATGGGGGTCGGTGTGGACAGGAAGCAGAGCCATTGCCGGTGGTGCTGCTTTCACCAGCTGTGACCAGTGGGGGTCAAATGAGTTATCCCGCGTCAAGTGCTTAGCGCAGTGCCTGACACGGAGTGCTCGTAGCATTTATGAATACCACTATTTTGCCTGTTTCCTCTCTTATGTTTTCAGTTCCCATGAGATCAAAGATTGGCTTCCATTCATTTTTGTATTCTGAGAGCCTAGAAAATTGCTGGTCCATCATTGTGGCTGGATGAAACCTTTGTTGATTTCCTCCTGAGGAAATGAGACACTCAACGGGGAAGATACTTGCATCAATGGGAAAGCCCTTGGCTGCAGTTACAGAGCACCTGGCTCACTCTGTCTTAGGCTTTAAGACACCTGTCTCATATGAACAAGATATATGGAGCCAAGAGATCCCAGGCTGGTGTAGCAGCAGCGTGACATCACAAGAGTGCAGAGTCCTCCCACATATCTGCTCTGCCTTCCTCAGCTCTCCTCATTCTCATGTTTGCGTCCTCATGGTCACAATGTCACTGCCAAGATCCTGCTCTTCCGTCTTTAGAAGGGAGAAAGAGTCAGGGGCAGAAGGATGGTCATGAAGCTTTGTGTATCATTTTCAGGGTGGGCAGCCCCCAACATACTTCTCCTTACATCTCATTGCCAAGTCCTGAAGCAATGGCTGGCAAAAGGGAAAAGGGTTACCATGATGGTTAGAGCCCAGGTTAATCCTCCGGGGTTGAGGATGGGTTAGCTTCCCTGAGATCTTGAGATCACTAGCTCCTATCTCAACACAAAATCAGGGATCTGTTTGCAGGGAAGAAAGGTGAGGTGAGGCTGCTGGGTAGACAACCAAATGTCTGCTATTGCTACACTGTTGTAATTGTTACTAGAAGATTTTGCTAACTGTATGGAAACTCGACCCTTATCATCAGCTCTACTGTAATGAAGTGGATGATCACCGCATAAGGAGTTACAGAAGACCGGGGGTGTAGTCTTGGCCCTCCAGGTAAGTAAGTTCCACGTTGCCAGCGGGGCACGAGTGCCTTCTCTTCCCATTCATCACCATTAGCTGCACGTGCCTCATGAGCATAAGGTGGCTGCTGGCGTGCACAAAGATGACCTTATGTCCTTCACCAGCAACATCTGAGTGTCTCCTTGGTCACCAGCTTAGCCTTCAGAGACAGGGAGGCTTTTTACAAGCATGCTATTCAGCTTTAAATACCAACATATTCAGCTCACAGAGCTGAAAGCAGTCACCCTAGGGTGCAAAAAAATTGGGGCAAAGGGAATAAGAAAATGTCTTTTCTGTAATAAACCTCATAAAACTATTTGACTACTCAATCTGTGTGCACATACCTTTGATTAAATACATAGAAAAATATAAGATTGGGTCATCTGTGAAGCGGGTCTTCATCCCAACCATGACTTCACTTCCTGGGAGGATGGGCAGTAATTCTGACTCAGTTCCCTACCCCACCTGACCCCCACCTCCTCCTCCTCCAGTTTGGTTGCCATTTCTCAGCCAGAGCTTAAAGCAAGAGAAACTATTTCACCTAATCACCTTGGCCATTTTCTCAAAAATTGGTGTGTTTTTTTTAACCGTTTTTCATGAGCAACAAAAAATAAAAAAACATGAGAGGCAGCCTGCTGGCTGCTGCTCTGGAGGGGAGGCTGAACGGAGAGGGCAAATGCCTTTGGAGCAGGCTTCAATTTTCAATCCATCTGGAGAGAAGGCGGCCTCAGTACTGCTTCATGAAATGAAATGGCCTCTTCGAGAGAGGCAGATAAATCAGAGTGAAATGCTTTTGACACAAGCTGGAGAGCAGCTGCTAACCTGGGTGAGAGGCCCGGAATCAACTTCTATTAACTCCTGCGGTTCTAATTTTTTTTTTTTTTTTTTAAGATTTTATTGATTTTTAGAGAGGAAGGGAGAGAGAGAGAGAAACATCAATGTGAGAGAAGTTTTGATTGGTTGCCTCCTGCACATGCCCCAACCGGGTATCAAGCCCGAAACCTGGGTATGTGCCCTGATCTGGAATCAAACCTGCCACCTATTGGAGCAATGGCAATGCTCCAACCAACTGAGCCACACTGGCCAGGACTATGGTTCTAATTCTTTGAAATTGCCTTCAAGCTTCACTCTTAAAACCAGAAGACAACACAGACGACTGGAGTTTGAGCCCGGCTTGGATCCTAATTGCTGTGTGGAGGAGGCAAAGGCACTTAGCGTCTCTGAGCTTCATTTCTACACCTGTTCAATACAGCAGAATGATTTCTACTCTGATGCTCAAAGGGGCATAGGAAAAGCAAATAAAATCATAGTAATTGCCCCAAATTGTAAGTTATTTGATGGAATATGTAAGGCTTTTTCTTGGGTGTTCTGTTGCAAATGCCTAATAGCAGCCCTGTCAATGAGCTGACCTGCTGTCATCACCCCCTTGCTATAGGGGGTGTGTATACGTAAGTAAGGATGGGCATGGGAATGACAACCACGCAATTTAGGACGGTGGCCACCTCTGCAGGGAAGGAGGGCCGTGTGTGTGTGGGAGGGGGGATACACAGAGGGCCCCAACTCTCTCCTGCTACCTGGGAGGTAGACATGTAGATATTCATTATAGCGGTTTTCATACCTTTTGTATGTCTGCACCAGAGTTTCTCAACCTTCGTGTGTTGACACTGTGGCTTGGATAATTTCATGTTGCAGGGGGCTGTCCTGTGAATTATATGATGTTTAGTAGCATCCCTGACCTCCCCACTAGATGCCAGTAGCACCACCCCTCCTCCAAGTTGTGACAACCAAAGGCATGTCCCCAAACATCACCAAATGTCTCCTACAGGCAAAATTGTCCCCCGCTGAGACACTAGCCTAGAAAAAAAGAGGACCTACATCTCAGAAACATTAGATGACTTCTCCAAAGTCACACAGTAGGTAAATAAAAGAGACAGATCCAGCATCCAGATCCCCTCATCTCATCCAGGGCTCTTTAAAATCTATCGAAGTGTCCCTCGGGAGCAGATATTTCTATTGTTAGAATTACAGTGAAGTTGTATCAGACATAAATACAACTGGATACACTTGACAGAAAATAAAACATGGGAAGTTTATCTTTAGTTTTACAACAAATATAATAGTAACTGTAATGTTAGTAATGAGACATCAACTATTTAAATGTGTGCAAGATCTGCTTATCTGCCACGGTGTCTTAGTTGCCAAGGGCCACTCCAAATGGGCTCATTTACCCACGCTGAGTACTAGTCTGGGTTGAATATACTCAGTCATTCCTACACTGGGTGTTCACTTTGTTTACTAATTTTAGAACCTGAGCCAAACCCAGCCGCAGGTGCTACCCCCTTATTGCCCAGAGAGGAGGCACTGCCAGCCCCGTGGCTTTACAGCATGTCGGGGTGGAGACTGTTTGGTCGGAACCCACAGGCCCATCGTGCTGGAGAAGAAATGAAAGTCTGGAGAGGTGAGTAAACTATAAGCAAGCACGTCACCACTTACAAAGGCAATTCGAATTCCCAGAGCTGGTAGGTGATGCCTGCGTGTCAGGGGTGCTGTGTGACTGCCAGGTTCCGTGACGAGGGCAGGTCACCAACCTGAGGACGCTCAGGTTCGGAGCCCTGTGCTGGGCGGGCAGGCGGCCTGGCAGAGCCCTGGCGCCTCCTCCAGCCTGACGCTTTCTTTCCATCATCATTAGGTGTGGGAAACACGCTTCTTGCTCAGAATGTGGCGTGGCCTTCAATGGGCCTCTGACTGCATTTTTAAACTGATGTTTGCTAAATGCATGCCAGGTATGAGCCAAGGAGAACACAGCGGGCGATCACACTGTACTGCATCCTACTCACTAACTAATTCAAGAGCACTCATGGCGGGGGAAAGATGTACAGAGAAGAGCTAGACAGAGCTGGGGATCCATCCCGAACTTTGGGTTCATGGGGGGTGTCCCAGGCACAGATGCCGTGATGCCTAAATAGTCTGGAAAAGCTCAGAAAACCTATAGAAAGTGAATGCCAGCTCTCACTGTTGGGCTGTTATTTAATTTTCACAGGACAAACTGACTTTGCATAAGATGGGACTCCACTGCAAAAGGGAGAAATGATTTGTCCCTGACTTTAGGAAAAGTTCATGAGGCTGACTATTCTTGGATAAAATTACCTAAAAACATTAAAAAACAAACCATCATGTAAATAATTACACTGCACCAAGGAACACTGCTGAAGAGACACGGGATCACTTTGGGGAGAGATCAATCCAGGGAGGCTCCGCAGAGGAGGGACTTCTCAGCTTGTCTGAAGGAAATTCAGGGGGTGGGATGAGAGGGAGAGCTGGACCAAGGACACCCAGGAAAAAGAAAGCACTGTGGGAAATCCAGCAAGTTGTAATTGGCAAAAGTTGCACTAATACTGGGATCAAGAGATAGCCTCGTCTCTTGGCATGGGGCCATCAGCACCTGACAAGGCCCTTCGTTGTCCACAGGCAAGAGACAAATCAGAAATCACAGGTGCACACAGTATTGGACATACTATGATCATGTCAGGGCCGGGCATCTGCCTGAGCATCACAAATGTTCATGAATATTAATAACCATTTGTTCCCAAAGGACCACAGATCAGTTAATTAGGGTCCTGTCAACCTGTTTATATTATCTATAAATGAAAACCCATCAGCAACCAAACATGAAATTAAACAGACTGTGTGAGGGCCACCACCGTTTCTGGGTAAATGACACAGCCAGCTCCCACCTGAGCCCCCACCCTTGGCATGGAGGCAGGTATTTCTCTCCCATGCCCATTTTAATCGAGTCAGTGGTTACAGGAGGCACAAGATAGATGGTGCCTCTCCTTGCTTCATTGCTTGGGAGGAGGAGTGATTTAAGACTATCAGTAAATTAGCTGCAATCCAGAGTCTTGGAGGAAAATTACCTATAAATCAAAGTTCCATAGACAGGTAATCAGGCCCCCAATCCAGCCCTGATCACCATGGGCCCAGATCCATCCATCTCCTTCCTGGAGTGATGGGACTGGGTGAGGGCCCCAAGTCACAGCCCCTGCCTGGGTTGTGTTCCATCTGGACAGCTCAGCATCAGGGGCCTTAGGCATGTTCCATGGAACAAGCTTCCAGAAGTCAGAGGCAGAGAGGGAGAGAGGAGAGGAGAGGAAAAGAGGGGAGGGGAGGGGAGGGGAGGGGAGCGGTGTAGTTTCTGGTTAGTGACCAAAGGCAGGGATCTCAGCTTTACCCATTTTTCAAGAAGAGTATAAGATCCCGATTTTTATGTGGAAATTCCCAATCATTAGATTTGGTGACTCACTGATGTAACAAAACACACACACACACACGAATGAACCACGTCAGTAGCCTGATTCAGCAGCGTGCCTGCCACCTCCAGGGTGAGGAAGGGGGTAACTTCCAACCTTGGGAGCCAAGAGCACGGAGAGAGCAGCCCTGACTTTACAGGGCGCCCCTGTCTTGGCAGAGCCCGCAGGTCCTTGCTGCTCCACGACAGCTGACTCCGGAGTCTCGCTCTCACCTGTTCCTAAAGGAGCCATCAGTGGGAGGTGACAGCGACTGTAATTCTGTTTTTATTATTGCGGAGCGCCGGTTCTTTCTGGCTGAGCGGCGCTGAGTGGCGGGGGTGATTTAGGGATCTTACGGGGGGATTAGGGCGGTGGAGGGAAAAGCATTTTCCTCCCAGGCCCAGACTGGCCCCAAACAAGTTCCTGTGGAGGATGCTGATAAAAAACAAATTATTTTATTCTGTTCAAAATCAATTTCAACTCCAGACTGCAGAGTCCCCCAAGAAATCCGGTATTAACACTTATCGTATGGCACTGAATTCTTTGAGGAATAGTAATCCTTAAACAGACGGAGGAGAAGTTGTTTTTTAAGCATTAAAATCTAGCGGTGTGCGCCGCTCATCTTTCTTCTTAACGAGCCATGCGCCGTCTTGATGTATTTGGTGTGAGAAATGAATTCAAACCACATACCAACTGTCTGTAGTGATTCCAGAGCCACCAAGAACATGCCCTCTTCTTTCTCCAGAACCTTCTCCACGCCCTCAATTCTGCCTGAAATGCCACTGGTGGAGTCCCATCTCGAATCTCCAGAGGAAAGAAATTACCTGCGGAAAAGTACATTAAACCTTATTTTCAAGCCTCTTAGATGAGGACAGGAGAATATATTTTCCATGAACATTTGTGAATGAGAAAACTAGACCTGAATGAGAAGTGGTGAAATGAGCAGCACAGGGAAAAGTGATCCAGGAGGTGGGAACAGCCAGTGCAAAGGCGCAGAGTCTACCTTCTTTGGAGTCAAAAGCATTCCCCAAACAGAAGTGTTCGCATCCACTCGGGATGCCTCTTGGCTTCACAGGATGGAGGTGCAGCCTCTCACTCTAGGAAAACCTTCTAAGATCTCCTTCCTCTTCTAGAGAGCAGGGGGGTGAGGGGTACAGGGAACTCCATGGGGTCCCCTCTCCGGTTAACTCATCCACGGGCCTGAGAACCAGATGTTGTCATACCTTGAAACCACAGCTGGACGCCTCCTTCAAGGTCACCTGGGCCCGTGTTCCCAACCTTCAGCATTCCCACCCCAGCACCGTCTGCATACCTGCACCTCACCTGCACCTGGCAAAGCTCCTCAAACCAGCTTTACATCGGCTCACTTGCAGAAGGTAACAATAATCATGACATTATTGCTAGTTCTTTAATTTCTGATAAATAGTTATGAAGATTAAAAATGTGTGTCTGAGTACCACCTGAAATCCACCCACGGATGACACTTTGGGAAACACTGCTCTAGTCTAGCCCCTGTTTACACATATCTGAGCCCTAGAGAGCTGTACAAAATCACATGGTTAATGAGCCCCACACACTTCCACCTTCCCTTTGTCCTCTGGGCTGGTTCATTCCTTCCCCGCCTCCCTCCTGCCTCCCCGCCTCCCTCGCCTCCCTCGGCTTCTCTCCCCCTCCTTCCTTTCCATCTTCCTTCTCCTCCCTCCCCCCCTCCC